TAAGCCGGCTGCTGAAGGAGGGGCCTGTGGGTGACAGCCACGGAGCAGGCCTGAACAGGCGGGAGGCTTTGGTCGCCCAGGCCGGCTGCCAAGGGAGGGTCCTGCAAATGGCCCTCAGCCCCTCACCCAGGCTGGCCAGGGCCCCCAGCAGGGAGCCCCACCCTAAAGGGGGTGTGGCCAGCCTGAAAATAGCCATCACCCCTCACCCAAGTTGGCCAAGAACCCCAGGGGGGACCCCCACCCCAATGTGGGCATGGCTGGCCTGAAAACCATCACAGGCCCCTTGCCCATGCTGCACCGCCCCTCAAGGGAGCCCCCATCCTGATCCAGGACACCCTTAAAGGCAAACCAGCCTGTCCCCACCCGTGCACCAGGCCTCTATCTATACTAATAAAAGGGTAATATGCTAATTACACTGGGAGACCCTCCAGGAGACCTTCTGGACATTCTTCTGGACAAAGCTATGGCAGCGGGGCTGAGGTAGAAGTGGTTAGGGGCCAAGAGGGGAGGGCAATTGTGGGTGATAAGGCTGGTGGGGGGGCCATTGGGGGTGATCAGGCTGGCAAGGGGGGGCAGTTGGGGGTGATTAGGCCAGTGGGGAGGGCAGTTGGGGGCAAGCAGGCTGGCAGGGGGGGGCAGTTGAGAGTGAGCAGGCCATCAGGGGGGAAGTTGGGGGTGAGCAGGCTGGCGGGGGGGCAGTTGGGGGTGAGCAGGCTGGTAGGCAGAGTGGTTAAGGGCAATCAGAGCAGGCAGGCAGGTGAGTAGTTAAGAGCCAGCAATCCCGGATTATGGTGAGCAGTTAAGAGCCAGCAATCCCGGATTATGAGAGGGATGTCCGACTGCTGGTTTAGGCCCGATCCCTGTGGGCCTAAACGGCAGTCGGACATCCCCCAAGGGACACGCCCCCCATGCATGAATTTCATGCAACAGGCCACTAGTAGATTATAAATTCAGTCAACAGTAGTGAAAAAGAGCACAATTAGCTAATTCTATTTTGTATCTAATAGTGGATTTTTTTTTTTTATTAAATCTTTATTGTTCAGATTATTACATTTGTTCCTCTTTTTTCCCCCCATAACTCCCCTCCTTCCAGCTCCCACCCCACCCTCCACCCTCACTCCCCACCCACTGAGTTCATCCATAGGTGCATGATTTTTGTCCAGTCACTTCCCGCATCTCCCACACCCCTTTTCCCCCAAGAATAGTCAGTCCATTCCCTTTCTATGTCCCTGATTCATTATAATCACCAGTTCATTCTGTACATCAGGTTATTTATTCACTTGATTCTTAGATTCATTTGTTGATAGATGCATATTTGTTGTTCATAATTTGTATCTTTACCTTTTTCTTCTTCTTCCTCTTCTTAAAGGATACCTTTCAGCATTTCATATAATACTGGTTTGGCGGTGATGAACTCCTTTAGTTTTTCCTTATCTGTGAAGCTCTTTATCTGACCTTCAATTCTGAATGATAGCTTTGCTGGATAAAGTAATCTTGGTTGTAGGTTCTTGGTATTCAGCACTTTGAATATTTCTTGCCATTCCCTTCTGGCCTGCAAAGTTTCTGTTGAGAAATCAGCTGACAGTCGTATGGGTATTCCCTTGTAGGTAATTGAGCCTCTTTCTCTTGCTGCTTTTAAGATTTTCTCTTTGTCTTTTGCTCTTGGCATTTTAATGATGATGTGTCTTGGTGTGGTCCTCTTTGGATTCCTTTTGTTTGGGGTTCTCTGCGCTTCTTGGACCTGTAAGTCCATTTCTTTCTCCAGGTGGGGGAAGTTTTCTGCCATTATTTCTTGAAATAGGTTTTCAATATCTTGCTGTCTCTCATCTTCTGGCACTCCAATAATTCTGATGTTGGTACGTTTGAAGCTGTCCCAGAGGCTCCTTACACTATCTTCACACTTTCGGATTCTTTTTTCATTTTGCGTTTCCAATTGGGTGTTTTTTGTCGAATCTTTGGTTTGAGTCTTGTGCTCCTCTGGTCTGCTATTGGGTATAATATTCTTTATTTCAGTCCGTGTATGCTTACTTTCTAATTTCTTTATCGTAGCATCGAGGGTCTCATTAGTTTTCGTGAGGCTCTGCACAAATTTATGGCAAGCCCTCAAAATTGCGATTCTTAGCTCCATATCCTCCATTTCTGTCATGTTTTTTTGTCTCCGCATCTTATATGCTTTCTTGGTGCACCCCCTTGTGGTCTCTGTGCGCAGTCTTGTTCTAGCCAAGCCTTAATTGTTGTAGTTAACACTAGAGGGGTTTGACCACCAGGCCGACTGGCTGTAGGAATCAGCTGTGGAAAACGTCTGTCTTCTGGGGAGGCGCTATTCCAGCCTTTGCCTGAGGCGGTCGGCAAATGGCTGTGCGCAGGGCCTGGGCGGGGCGGGCTCAACAGGGCGGGGGGAGGGAGCAGCTATGGCCGCTCTCAGTCCGTCTCCCGGGGCTCTGCCTCTCTGTCCCCACAACCGCTGCAAACCTCGGAGGGGCCGTAGCCAGACAGTCCCGCTTCTCCCGTTTGAGTCTGGGTCCCTAGAGACTCGCCCGGATCTGTAGCCCAGAGTCTGAGACTCGCTCCTGATTGAAAACGACAATCGCGCCCTCAGCCGCCCGCCTGCTTTGCGCGCGCACCCTCACCACCGCACCGCCGTACCTTTAAATTTTCCACACTGCGCCTCCGCTGAGCGTCGGAATGCTGTTGTTTTTGCTTCTAGTTGAAGAGACTCTCCTCAGCCAGCCTTCCCGTGGTTCTGGTTGATGTCCGCTCCGACTTTTAGTTGTATTTTTGAAGTGGTTGTTCGAGGCAACAAACTCCGGTGTTTACCTATGCCGCCATCTTCGATTCTCCTAATAGTGGATCTTATTCTGTGTCCAATACTATGCTAAGAGCAGCAGCTATGACACCTGAGCCCCAGAAACCTGTTACCATCACAAGGCTCTTTATCACAGAAGAAACTGCCATACAACTCTCTGCTGATGTGCCAGAGAACAAACTAATATTGACCAATGTGATGTGAGGAGGGGGAGGAATGGTTTATTCAAAACACATATTTTGCATGGAGAAGACAGGACTCAGAACCACTTATTCTGTATTGCTCAGACAAAACCCACATCAAGGAGTAAAACATACCTAGACTTGCTGCAGGAAGAATGCTATGGTACTAGAGATGCTTGTAAGTGTGATAAGTCTCCTGGTACACTAATGAGTGTCAAGATAATGAGTGCATGAGCCATCACCACCCAAGTTTTTGGTGGGACCTAGGGATCCAGTCGTGGTTTTTCTGAAGATCCTTTGAACTCTATTTCTATTAGTCGGACAAGGATTAAGTTTGCTGTGCACATAACATTTGTTAGAAATTATCAGTGTGTTCTGTACCTGTCTACCTTCCATTTCTTATATTAAAGGTCAGTTTGAAGATCTAACGCTCTTAGGGACCAAATTATTTGCTGTCTTTTGAGCCCTGTCACAAAACTCATTCCTTACCCTTCCTTAAATAACCCCCACTACTTGCCTTTCCTCTGGTCTGAAATTCCACCATCAGGCTTAACATCTTTTTATGTTTTCAAAAGTCCTACTCTGAGAGGATGGTTCTCCTGGGAAGTTAATTTCATTCAATTTTTTTAAAAAGACAAATTAATTTTGCCCACATACAACAAGTTCCAACTTCAATCAGTTACTAGTGGCTGTCCTGTGGCATTGTGCTGTGAATGATTTTAAGGCTCAGTGTAGGTTCAGAGAGAAAGAATGCAATCATCAATTAGTAATGCCATCCCTAGAGTAATAGAGCCATTTCTGATAGTTTCCAGAGGTTTAGAATAAGATCTCAAGGGAAGGCCTCTAAGGATGCACAACAAAAGAAATGTTGGAAAAAAAACAAAACAAAACAAAAGAAATGTTGAGCATTGGGACTATTTAGAGAACCCTGAAAATGATGATGGAAACCTGCCAGACACTTCCATTCGCTGACCCTGGCTTTCTATCACATGTGGCCATCAGTATTCTTTACATTAGCCAATGTGTCCCAATTTTAAATAATGACAGTTTTGCTTTGCTTTTCAAACAAATATCTCTCTTAGTTGTGATATATTTTGCCTAGAAGACCAGAAATGAGAATACGTGTGTAGTAGAATCAAGCAATGGACTGCCAGCCTTCGAGATGGCCTGGTCCAAACCCTCCCTCTGTAGATGGGAAAACTGAGGACAGGAATGATTAAAGTAACCAGCGATCTCTCATTTCCAAAAATTGTGGACTTTACATTTATTTTAGAATTTTTATTTAATCAGTGTTTCCTTCCGAATTAAATGACAGGCAAGAAGACAGCAACTGAGGAATGTTGGGACCTCAGCTTTTGATACTAGCTCTTGGCTGGTATAGGCTCTGAAGTCAGACAAGCCTTAATCTCAACCTGTGAATGCATGAGCAAATAATATGACCTGAGTCTTCATTCCTTATTCAAGAAAGAGTATTGCTATTATATGGTAATATAAAGTGCCAGACTCACAGTAAGCACTCAGTCAATTCAGTCCCATTCCCTTGTGCTTTCTCCAAAGGCTTGTGCTCCCTACTTTCCTCAGGGGCTTGAAAAGGTGTCTAGCACTGGACCTGGGGCCTTAACCATTTATTTGAATTGGGGGTAGTTCATGTTTATCTTCTCCCCTCATTTTAGAACTTTGACTTTGTCAGCAGACACTTCCAGGAAAAGAGATGTGTACCCAAAGTGTTATTGATTACTTCATTGCAAGGCCTACATGGTGTAATCTTGAAAAAACAAGTACATTGACATAACTCATTTTAAAAAATCCAGTATTCGTTAATGAATGGCTATCCATCAACAACATTTCTTCATTGCTATGAATTCTTCGACTTGATCAATGTCATAGTGGCCTGGAAAAATATTCACCAGAAAAAGTTTAATTATTAATATTAACTAATTAAAAAGACTATAAGAGGACTTTTCAGTTCCCTCAAATGATAGAGTACCTTCCGTAAAAGTTTGTCTGAAAAAATGAAGACTGTTAGATTCACATATTTTCTTGCTTTCTTCAGCTACATTAAAGGTCAAACTCTTCAGAGAAGTTTACTAGATGCAGGTAGGGAATCCTATTTCCAATCTGTACATTCCATGTGCCCGGAGTACTAGTAAGAGGTAATGACTACTAAAATGCATATGGAATGACTTCTCTTTCTCAGTGCTCATTACTTTCATTGGGTCATTGAAAATTGCTGGAAATTAACTTATGAAGTGAATGAATGAAGAGAGCTAATATATTGAATCAATCCACAGGAAGACCTCATTCATTTTAGTCTTATTTTCACTTTGATGAGAGAATGATACATTTTAAACTTGCATTTAAAATTTAATAAATGGCTTTAGATAAATCAAAAATATTCATAATAGCAGGAATAATATTAGAACTACATTATTTAGTAACTATTGTGAGCCAGGCACTATGCTTGATGCTTCACACATATGACTTCATTTAATGTGAACAACTATCTAGTGCAATAGAACTTGTTTGCATTTTATAGAGAAACACAAATTCTGAGAGCTTATTTTCCCAAAGCCACATTAAGCATCAGAGCTCAAAGTTGAATTCAGAATAGCTATCTCTAAAGCCTTCCCCTATGTCAGTATAGCAAGTAATAGTGGTTTCTCTACTTACTAGATTGCTGCTAAGCATTATAGAAGCTATCAGTATAAAAAGGAGTAAGATGAAGATGACGAGTAAATCCAATACATGTGAGATATTACTTTTGCCAAATTAAGCAAACTCTAATTTTCTTAAAATTTCTTCAGTGTGGTATTGAACTCTTCTAATGTAAAGTTAAATAACCAAATCATCAAGTTCAATTATTTCAGAAGTTTCAACATAAGTACATGTAACTCATTTGTAGGCCAATGATAGATTTCAACTGCAGAATATATTGAATAGAAATGTCATTCACAGAATACAGTTTAAATACAAGCAAAGATGTATTCTAATACTTTTTAAAATTCATTATGATAATCAAAAATACATCTGAAAATTTATGAGTGAATAAATATAGATTTCAGAACTATAAAGGGGGATTTCAATTTGGAAAATTTCCTGTTATACATATAAAGCCTCTTTTTCTCCCCCTGCCCCTCCACCTCAGCCATGCAGCACTCTAATAGCCAGAATTATCTGGAGGAGAACTTAAGAGACATGTGAGTTTTGTTATCATTATACTTTTATCTGAAACTTAAAATCACATTAATTATTTAGGGGGAGGGGAGTGGGACAACTAGATAACAAGAATGATGGTGGAAAAGGGTTCAATTCTATCTTTAACACTCACAGTGTCATGTTTCAGCATTAGCATTATGGTTGCTCAGTTTCTTCAGAAATCCACTTATGAAGAAGTACAAACCATAGTTGAAGAGTTACTAGATTTTGCAGAGAAATGCAAGAGCCTCAAGCTACATGAGTCACCTCTAGAATGCTCTTACCAGTTGGTATGTGAATCATCTTGTGCCTTCTACCTTTCTCTTGTTTTCTCTCTCTCTCTCAATTAAATTGCAAACAAAACATGCTGTTATAAGGAGGGCTCACTGAAAAAATTGGTTGAGGATTGTAAGGCAGCAATATGTACATATTCATACTTAAGATATAATCTTTATAGTTTTATAAACTTACTAGAGACCCAGTGCATGAATTCATACACAGGTGGGGTCCGGCCAGCCCGGCCCCAATCAGCAGATTGGTATCAGGCCTGTTGAGAGGAGGAGACAGCAGGAGGTAGGCTGGCTGGCCCAATCTGATTGGGGCCGGATCAGGGCTGGGCCAGCTGAGGAGAGGGGCCACAGGCGATTGGCTGGTGGACCCCGGCCCCAATTGGGGTGGGGGAGCTGATTAGGGGTGAGGCTGGCCATAGGGAGGGGCTGTGGGGGGTGGGCCAGCAAACCCCGTACCCTATTGGTGTGTGGGAGCCGATCAGGGTGGAGCTGGCTGGGGGGAGGGGCTGTGGGCCAATCAGGGTGGAGGGGCTGATCAGGGTTCAGCGGCCTAGGGGAGAGGCCATGGGTGGTAGGCTGGCTGGCCCTGCCCCTCATTGGAGTGGGGGGGGGTAATCGGGGGTGGAGCTGGCTAGGAGGAGGGACCAAAGGCAAATCAAGGTGGTAGGGACCCATCGGGGGCAGGGCCAGCTGGGGGGAGGGGGTGCAGGCAGTTGGCTGGCCAGCCCTGCCCCTGATCGGGGTGGGCAGTGATCAGGGGCGGGGCTGGCTGGGGGTGGGGCTTCGGGGAGGTTGGCCTACTGGCCCCACCCCCTATCGGGCTGGTTTGTTGGCTGCAGTGAACATCATAGCGACTGGTCGTTACCATGCTATGGTTGCTGCCTTGTTATATATATAGACTAGAGGCCCAGAGCATGAAATTTGTGCACTTGGGGGTTGTCCCTCAGCCCAGCCTGCACCCTCTCCAATCTGGGACACCTTGGGGGGTGTCCAACTGACCGGCAGTCAGACATCCCTCTCACAATCCAGGACCGCTAGCTCCTAACCGTTCGCCTGCCTGCCTGCTTGATTGCCTCTAACCCCTTCTGTCTGCCAGCCTGATTGCCCTCTAACTGCTCCCCTGCCAGCCTGATGGACACCTAACTGTTCCCTTGCCAGCCCGGTCGCCCCTAACTGCCCTCCTCTGCCAGCCTGATCACTCCCAACTGCCCTCCCCTGCTGGCCTGTTCGCCCACAACTGCCCTCCCCTGCTGGCCTGTTCGCCCACAACTGCCCTCCCCTGCTGGCCTGTTCGCCCACAACTGCCCTCCCCTGCCAGCTATCTTGTGGTGGCCATCTTGTGACAATGTCGGGGCAGCCATCTTGCGACAACATGGGGGTGGCCATCTTGTGACGACATGGGGGTGGCCATATTGTGATGATGTAGGGTCAGCTGTCTTGTGATGACGTGGGGTTGGCCATCTTGTGATGACATGAGGGCGGCCATCTTGTGATGATGCAAGGGCGAGACACCACCTAGGCTTTTATTAGTATAGACTAGGGGCATGGTGTATGAAATGCATGTCCCTCAGCCCGGCCTGCACCCTCTCCAATCTGGGACCCCTCGGGGAATGTCCGACTGCTGGTTTAGGCCCAATCCCTGAGCAGTCGGACATCCTCTCATAATCCAGGACTGCTGGCTCCCAACTGCTCACCTGCCTGCCTGCCTGATTGCCCTAACCGCTTCTGTCTACCAGCCTGATCGCCCCCTAACCGCTCTCCTGCTGGCCTAATTGACACCTTACTGCCCCCCTGCCAGCCTGATCACCCCCAACTGCCCTCTCCTGCTGGCCTGATCGCCCCCAACTGCCCTCCCCTGCCACGACCTGCCTCCTATGCTAGGACCCACCTCTTCCACATGAGCTGGCAGAGACGCTGGGACCCGCCTCGTCCAAGTCACACAGAGCCGTGGGACCCCCAGTCCTCATTGCGATGAGCAGCCACCTGGCCCCGCCTCTGTTGTACACTTGGCCACCTTTCTGGTGGTCATCTTGTGGTGGCCATCTTGTGATGATATTACGCGTGAGGGTGCAAGGACCACCTAGGCTTTTATTAGTACAGATAGTTTATCAGGTCATCTCTAGGACTTTTAGAACCAAACATTCAAGGGAATGAATTATAGCCTAAACTGTCAATTTGTTAAGTTGGTTGCTTTGCCTCTATCACTAAACTACTATAGTCTAACATCTTTGTATAAAGGTTCCTGAGAAAATGAAGTACTAATTTTAAAATGTTTCTTAGAGAATATGTAAAAGAAGAAAGAAGTGAATATTATTATGGGCTCTTTTCCAAGTTAGTAAATAATCTTGAAATCTTAGGAATTACTATTGTTTTTTATAAAGTATGTCTATCTTGTGATTAGCAAATTCTTGATAAACACTAACATATTCTTTCTATCATCTATCTATCTGTCATCTCCTACCTACCTATCTGCTTGATCAATTATTCTCATGACAAACAATTTAAAATACAAATGAGTAGTTTTCTTCTTTCTATTTTTATTCCTTCCTCTAAAACCTACCTTTTATGAGACTGTATATATATTTAGAAAAATCATTAGTCTTATTAGAAACAGATTTTAAATGAAGTACTTATGTCAGTGGCTAGACTCACTTATTTTATAGTGATTTCTTCTTATTTACATTTCAAAAGCTGAAGATTTTACTCCTTTATCCCCCAAATCTTAAAATATGTCATTTGAAGTTTACACTATTTCACACATTTACTGCCACCCAAAGATATTTGAAAACTAACTGAATTATTACATTTCCACTTGAATATTTGACACTAAATACACATTGCTTCAGAGTTCAATTCTTAATATAACTTGCCATGGAAATAAAACTAGGAAGACAGGAAAGCAAACTACTACCTATTTATTAGTAGATAATTCTCACTTAAAATATCTTGATTTCTTTAGGCCCTGGAAATTCTGGCTTATGTTTATTTTAATATTATGAACTGTGTGAAAATGAAGCAATTACATAGGAAAGGAGAGAATAATAAATTCTATTTGGTCAATGTCCAACATGTGAGAATTTAGACTTAGAAACCTAAAAGACTTTTGTACAGAAGAACTATGTCCAGGGACTATTGGATACAAAGTGTAACATTCTGCACTCAGTTTCCTATAAAAAAAAATAATTTCTGCCTTGGCTGGTTTGGCTCACAGTGGATAGAGTGTCAGCCTGGGGACTGAAGGGTCCCAGGTTTGATTCCAGTCAAGGGCACATGCCCAGGTTGTGAGCTCGATCCCCAGTGAGGGCATGCAGGAGGCAGCTGATCAATGATTCTCTCTCATCATTGATGTTTCTATCTCTCTCTCTCTCCCCCTTCATCTCTGAAATCAATAAAAATATATTTTTAAAAATAATGTAGAACCCACATGCTTCTTTAAATTATTATTTCCTCCTACAGATGACCACCTTCTTAGAGCATATATGTAATAACCAAGGAATGGTTGACAAACATGTATTTTCTGACTGTTGCAATGTAAATAACACAGCAAGACACAAGTGCTTCCTATTAAATAAAAAAGATGATGATAATTACAGGGAAATATTGCAAATTCCAAATCTTGAGCAGATCTGTGAGGTGAACAAAGGGAATCAAGTGTTAGTGAAGAAGAGGTAAGTCATTTCTCCTTGCCATTGTCTTTGAAGCAGAGTATTCTCCAGTTTTGAAGACAGGTCTTTTTTACATAACAGCCTCTGAGAACACAATGCTCTATGACATGGAATTAAAGTGAAAATTTGAGCTACAGTATATTTTTTCTCCCTCTGAATGAAAATTATGGTCTCAGTGAACTCAATAGGATATGGAAATGTCTGAGCCATGAAACATTAAAAGTGACTAGAACCTATAATGGACCCATCTCCTTAAAGGTTACATTAGTCAAACCAGAAGCAAATGATGTTGAAATGTATAGTCAAACAGGTAAAGCATAATAAAAAGAAAGTACTAGAAACAGAGAGCAGATAATAGCTCAGGCAAGGGGCTGGCATTTGGGATGTTCATCAGGGGATATCAGGGATGGTATCCGATAGGCATGGACACAGGGTCTGTCATTGGGACACTAGGAATAAGTAACAATTGTAGATGTCCGAAATGAGTTTTCTACACCAGAACTCTGGTTCTATAATTCTCACCTGGAGTGGACAGCATATGGCAAATGGGTAGGCAAGCTCATATTTTGGTTTTCTAGTTAACATAGGAGGAGTCTATATGTTGAGAGTAGTGTGCTAGCAAGTGGCTGGGTTTAGAGGCAGGAAATCAATACCCAGAGAGGTAGAAATGACAAGATAAATACAAGGCCTCAGTTCTCAAGGAATCCAGTTCTGGCTATCTTATCAGTACAGGCTCAGACACCAGGAATAAGGCAAAGATCTGATTGCTGGATCTAGAGTGCAAGTCATGGAAGAAGTTTGATTTTCAGGTTTTAGTCATGAAACTCTAGGCCAGAGATGAATGGGCAGACAGGGTGACAATGCTGAATAATGCTAATTCTTTTAATTCACCCATAAAAGAGCAGAATTGCTCCAGCAATTACTGAGCCTTCAAGAAAAAATTAAGTGTCCTCAGCCACATAGGGAGAAAGGATGATGGAACAGAAATTGGATAGGGTCCCAACTTGTCTGACATTAAGGGCAACTAAATGGGAATGGAAAAATGGCTACCCATTTAATGTAGGTGAGAATTATAGAATCAGATTTGGGTTGAACTTTCAGAGATTAAAAATTCCAACCAATATTCAGGCAGCGAATTTAACCTCTTCTTGAATACTTATAATAAAGTCAGTAATTAAGGGGTTATTTTATTTGCTAATTTTAACTTATGTGCATACAACTATAAATATTCAAGGGACAAATAATTTTCTACTACATGCCTCATAATTATAAGCCAAGAACTTGATTTAATTCTCAGCCAAGGAAACTAATTTATATCAAAGCTGTAGAGAAAGTCAGCTACTTTGGACTGAAAAGATAGCACAACTTTCTTAGTCTAGAAAGAACTTCTAAATTTAATTCCTCTGTACTCGTGTACAATTATGCATTTATAATTCAGTTTAGACTATTGAATTTTCTAATTTCTATGCTTATGTAAGAGTGAAAAGTTTTGATTCCTGATTCTCTTTCCCCATCACCCCAGAGGTACACTTGGCTACCTCATGGGCACTCGAAATGTCTGACTAACTTCACAGTAATCTATCCATTGTGAACATTTGATGCATTTAAGTATAGTGCTAGTTCATATCTTTCACACCATGATATTCTAGATGTTACAGGTTAACAAAACTAAGTGAACCCTAAATTGTTTTTTAAGTATATTTTTATTGATTTTAGAGAGGATGGGAGAGGAAGAGAGGGAGATAGAATCATCAATGATGAGAGAGAATCATTGATCAGCTGCCTCCTGCACACCCCCACTGGGGATTGTGCCCTTGATCAGAATTGAATCCAGGACCTTTCGGTCCACAGGCCGACACTCATTTGACTGAGCCAAACTGGCTAGGGCAACCCTACATTTTTAAGAAACAGCATCTGCACATGTTCTTGAACTCCAAAGAACACATCTTCTGGTTTGTCAAATTACAGGTATATTTATGAAACTTCTAGAAAGCATCCATTCTTGTATGGACCCACTATTCTGACCATGTCTGCTTGCTATGAAACAGCTGTTCAGTCATGTTGCCAAGAAGAAAATAAAACTGAATGCTTCCAGATAAAGGTAAGATACTCATATGTAAACTGTTATTCAGGGCCTTGCTATGCAAAGTGTGGGCTGTGGACCAACGGCATGTGCATCACCTGGAAGCTTGTTAGAAATGCAGAATCTGCAGCTCTTCTCCAGACCTACTAGACAACACTTCATTTTAACAAGATACTTAGGCGATGTGTATAGTCATATAAATTTGAGGAGCATGATCTAGCATAGATATTACTCCATAATAAATATTTAATATCTCAGTTACTGTTGCTACGTAACAGAACACCCCAAATTTTAGTGACTCAAAACAATCATTTTATTCTCTTGATTTCTGACCGGCAGGGATTCAGGAAGGACTCATCTGGGCGCTTCTGTCTTATGGCCTTTCATGTGGTTATAGTCAGACAATGCTTGGGTCTGGAACTCTGAAGGGCTGAAACACAGGTGGGGGAGGGCGGGGGGCGGGGGTGCTTCAACATCTCTTTCTTCTCATACAATCTCAGGGCCTCTCCAAGAATTCTCTCTGCTGTTGACAAAAGAATGCAAAAACCTATAGAGAATTTTTAAAAGAATTTATTTGAGCCAAACTGCTGACCCTGTCAGGAACCAAAATCTTAAATGCTTGGGAAAATGGCAGTTTGGCAGTTTTATACATTGGATAGTTAACAAGATTATAAAGCATTTCAAAAAAGTTAACATAGATGTACAGAAACAATGGACAGGACTTAAGGCAAAGATAAGCATTTTGCTAAAATGACAGCCCACCATAATGGGCCCAGTTAGGAAGCTGTGATCAGATCACTCTGTGAGGTTATTTTTGGTGAGATTTATTATAGCGTCTCTTCATTGCCCACAATGCCTTAACTTGTTTGGGCTTCCTTACAGCATGACAGCCTTGGGCAATTCCACTGCTTTCCCATGGCCAAAGTCATTAAGAATGAGTATTCTAGTGGGTAAAGCAGAAATGATATGCCCTTTCAAGACCCAGACTCAGATGTTACTTCTGCCATACTCTGTGGTTGAAACACCACGAAAACTCATCAGTTTGAAGGGGACAGTATATAATAATCTTGGAACTTTTGATGGGAGAACTGTCACTGTCTCACTGTAAGGTGAGCATAGGATAGAAAACATTGCTGTAGTCATCTTTGGAATGTACAGTCAGCCACACTTAATTTTAACCATGTGGCATTTTGTCCTTCATTAAATTATGTATAAATAGTTGTAAATGTGATTAATTTCATGACAAAATATGTTTTGTGTGTGCAAATTAAAGGTTCTAAATATCAATGTACAATAACCATTTTTTCTAGAGGAGGCACCAGATGGATTTTCCAAAGGCTGTGATGAAATGAGTAGTAGTTTGATAATCACGTTGATGAATTCCTCAAGGCTAAATGCAGTGTTGCTTCTTCCTTGCTGTTTTCTTTTTTAATATTTTCGGTGAGATGTTATCTCATATTCCTCTAAACTTCTATTTCTCTATTCCTTTGCACTGTTTCTCCTATTGAGCTCTTTATTGTCTACCTTGTACAAGAAATTAAATTATATATCTAAAGAGTTTCTGGCATATGCTAATATGCAATAATTATAGCTATTATCATTAAACTAGAGGCCCAGTGCATGAAATTTGTGCACTTGGGGGGTCCCTCAGCCCAGCCTGCACCCTTGCAGTCCAGGAGCCCTCAGGGGATGTCCAACTGATGGCTTAGGCCCGCTGCGGGGAACTGGACTAAGCTGGCAGTTGGACATCCTTAGTGCTGCCGTGGAGGCGGGAGAGGCTCCCGCCACTGTCCCTGTGTTTGTCAGCCATGAACCCACTTCTTCCCCCTGGTGGTTAGTGTGCGTCATAGTGACTGGTCGTTCCACCATTCAACCAATTTGCATATTAGCCTTTTATTATGTAGGATATGTAAAATATATATATTACCTTCCTCTTCATTCTTTCTCTTAGTGAATACCAATTCTTTCAGAAGCCAATTCTGTATTTCTAGCAGGACAGTCTTTTTTTTATTGCTTTTGGTTTCATATTAATAAAAAACAAAAAGTAAATGATCACGCAAACTTATGTTTCATTACCTGGTATTTCTGAAGATTGAGAATTTTCATGAAAATGCATTCTCAAGGTAACTTGGTGCTTACTATTTTAAGTTACAAAGTTTTCTTGACCTTAACCCTTGCAATGAAAATTTTTCTTTCATGTATAACATGCCTCTATAATGTTAGGTATGAGCAAATTTTTTTAAGTTGGTTAAGAGTTCTTTTCTCCTCTACCTCGTTTTGTGATATTTAGAGTTGCTACTTCCAAGATGTCTGTTCCTAGTAGTTCTGGCTCCCAACCTCAGAAAAAATTACATAACCAATTGTGCAAAAGTTGTATCTGTGATCAGACACAACCTTATGAACTAAGTATTCAGAAACTCTCTTATAAATAAACTAGAGGCCCAGTGCACGAATTCGTGCACGGTGGAGTCCCTTGGCCTAGCTGGTGATGGGGGCCAACCGTGGCCTTCTTGCCCAGTCCCAGTTGGGGCCGATCGGGGCCAGCCAGCCAGGGGGAGGGACCATGGGAGGTTGATCGCCACAGGAGGTTGGCTGTAGGAGTGCACTGACCACCAGGGGGCAGCTCCTGTATTGAGCGTCTGCCCCCTGGTGGTCAGTGTGCATCATAGTGACTGGTCAACCGGTCATAATGGTCACTTAAGCTTATATATATATATATATATGTGTGTGTGTGTGTGTGTTTATACTTAATTTCAGATGTGTAGTATTAAAGATAAAATTATATTTATAATTAATTATAAAAATATAATTATAATTATTGTGTCAGTTTTGTGGTTTGAATATTTCCTTTGTATATATTTTCTAATTTGTTCTTAAAAATAGTACTGTAAGGTGCAGTTACCCAAAGTAAAAGTATTATGTGGTCAATATAATGTTTTCAGTGAAAATATAGACCTCTTCTGGAATTTTAAACTATTACTTACATTCCCACCACTGAGAGATATCAATTTTGGTATTTTTTTTCTTTACAGATTTTATTTTGTACATTGTGCAATCACACCAAATATAGAGTTTTGATAGAGATTTAAACATCTTAACTTTTTATTAGCAATATACAACTTCTAAAAAATAATGTGCTATTATAAGTTAACCCCCTCTCTGCTGTTGAAACATTTTGTCTCCAAATTTTTGCTATCATAAAATACATTTTTGAACAATTTTGTTTTTATTTATTTAGAAAAGTATATTTGCAATAGTTTCAAAAGTAAAAATCCTGAGTTAAAGAATGAACATATTTGGGGGGACTTCATTAATATATATTGTAAAACTAAAACATATATTATAGATAACACTTGGAGACATGTCCAAAATGACAGAGTTAGTTACTTGAATAAAACCAAAATACAACTGTAACACATATCAAATGTACTCTAGTGACTTTCCTTTGCTCAGTTTCTTGTTCTTATTTATATTCCAAATGTTTGATCACTGGAACAAGTGATCTCTGCTGAAAAGAGTTGCTATTTTATAAAACAACAACAACAACAACACCCCCAAAATTATGCTGTTGCATTTGGCCTCTTTTAAATATGACACTAAAATTTTTCTAATTTTGAAGAGATACACAATTTTTACTTTTCTCTTTTCTTTACTAATGACGAAAGTAACTACCATATTTCCTTGATGATTTGTTTTTCTAATTACAGCTACAACCCATCAGAAAATACATGAGAGAAATATCTTTGAGGCATCACCATTTATGTGAAATTGGGACTAAATTCAACCACAAAGTAGCCAAAGCAGTGTAAGTTACCTTTTCAGATTTGTGGACTTTGTTGTTGCTGGATCACCCTGTTGATAAAACTAATTTGAAAAATCATTTATTTTTCATTTAATAATGTCTCTCAGTACAGACCTGGTTCTTTTCTCTACACATACGCTACTTGCCTTGTCTGTGCAATAGGGCACACAGGGCTGGGCATGAAATTGCACAGTTGTCATTTCTGCCCATTATCTCCTGCTTCAGTTTTTTCCATCTGCTCACCCTTAGTCTCTTCCTCAGTGCACAACTGATTCCATACATACAGAAGCAGGTACTTAATTATTCTGCATGGTAAAGGCTGGAGGACAAAAGCTATTTTTTCTGGGAAGATAGGAAAACATTGGCTTCAATGTTACACAGAACAGAGGAAATCAGTGGTGTTTCTTGGGGTGGGAATGGAGGAGGATGAGGCAGGAGAAGAATTTGATGTTATCCAATATGCCTCTTTTCTGGCCTAGATTGTGTTTCTGTCCAAGTTGACCCCTAAAGACATTCATCTGCCTTATATTACCTTCTTCTCCAATTTAGGACAACATCAGGCTGCCCAGAAGCTCAGTTCTCCTTCCAAGGCAGGCCCATTTTCCCTATTTCCAGAGAAATTTTAGGGATATTGCTCAGTTGGCAACAGAGAGAGGCAAGGGAGACCCAAGCCTCCTGTAATTATTGTCTTTGTGATGAAGACTTTTACTTGGAAAATCAGGTCAGATAAATATCCAAATCACTTCTCTAAGCAGCTCAACTCTTTAAGCAATAATTTAAATTATTAAAATAACTATATTATCCATGATTATCAGTTGAATCATATTGTTTTGTGACTTAGATATTGTATGACTCTGGGTGCCATCATTGAAGAAACAGAAAGCATTTAAAATATTCTCTTCACCCTACATTTACAATGTGTTTCTATCCTTTTGTTACTCAATGAATTAGAACTAACTTTAGAAATAATCAAATTCACAATGTTGTTTAAAATGTACCTTTTTTTTTTCAGGGAATTGGTTCTGTTGACTAAAAAACAACCTAAAGCTAACTTTTCTGAAATTGCCAAACTGGCTGCTGATATTAAAAATCTTCATCAGACCTGTTGTGAAGGAAATGCAGTAGCATGTGTATTTGGCAGGGTAGGATCCTCTGTCTTCTCAAAACTCACTCTGGCCTTTAAAATACTTATAATTCTTAACATAGGGGAAGAAGATTGGGGGAGGATGAAGAGGTTAAAGGGGGTCAACTATATGGTGGTAGACTTTGGGTGATGAGCATACAATGCAATGATATACCATAGAATTGTGCACTTGAAATTTGTATAATGTTATTAACCAATATCACCCCAATTAGTTAATTTAAAAACCTTGTATTGCTTAAATAAAGGTGATAGTGGTATATAATGAATCTGTAAAAGTAATTATCATTTATCAGATTTTGGTATTTAGTTATGCCAACTTCTAGATAATGAATTAGAAATTTTTTTCCTTTTAAATTTTTTGACATAAATTAAATAGTATTGAGACTTACCTTTCTGTGAAGGTTTGAAAGAACTTGTCTGTGAAATGAGCAGGGATGAAGATAGAAACTGGTGTGACAGTTTTTTCTTACCTCTAAGATTCTTTACATATAAAGATAAACAATTCTAGAATGCTTTTCCTCTTCTTTTGTTTCCAACTAACTTCTATATGTCCTTTAAGATTCAAATTATTCAAGATCTTCACACTACAAATTGCTTTTTTCTTCCAAAGTATCATATATATACCTTTTTTTTACAATTTCTGTTATAATGCATTATTATTGTTTAATTGTTTGACCCTCCAACTAGATTATGAGTTGCTTAAGTGTAGAGACTAGCTTATTCATGCACACACACCATTATTTGTGTGTACATATGTATGGATAGGTAAATGTATGTAAGTATACGTAATAGTAATATTATTGTAATACTAGATACCCGGTGCATGAAAATCATGCACTCTGGGGAGGGGGGCGGGCCCTCAGCCTAGCTTGTGCCCTTTCACAGTCCGGGAGCCCTTGGGGAATGTCTGACTGATGACTTAGGCCCACTCCTAATGGGGAGTGGGCCTAAGTCGTCAGTCGGACATCCTTAGTGTTGCCATGGAGGTGGGAGAGGCTCCTGCCACCACCACTGCACTCACCAGCCATGAGCCCAGCTGTGGGAGCACACTGACTACTAGGTGGCAGTTCCTGCATTGAGCGTCTGCCCCCTGGTGGTCAGAGCGCATCATAGCAACCGGTCTTTCTGCCATTCGGTCAATTTGCATATTAGCCTTTTATTATATAGGATATATAGTAAATGACAGAGACAAATGTCTCCTAAATTGAGATCTTACAACAATAGCAACAATAGCAAGACAATAAAACTCTTCATTTGTATTTTGTTGACCTAAACATGGAAACAATACTATGGTCTATTTAAAAGAGATTGTGACACTTGAGTAAGATCAAATAGAGAAGCTTTTCTAATTAGAATGAGTCACTACAAATGACTTTTTTGGTCTTTCAGTTTGCCAAGGATAAAGCAATATAAAATGAGAAGTTTTTTATCTTGTGTTCTATTAATAACAATAAATAAATTAATTAATTAATTAATAAGTTAGAATGAAGTCATCAAAAACAACTGCTCCCTTTTCTGTTTTAGAGCCAGCTTATGAACTATACCTGCTCTAAACAGGCTCTCCTATCCAGCAAGATCACTCCATGCTGTGCACTGCCAGTGCCATTCAGAGGGGAATGCATTATCAACTCTGAAAATGACAATAAACCTCATCTCTCATCCCTGCCACTCAGCAGGTTTACGGAAGATCGATTTGTATGCAAACAATTCACTGACAAGCAGGATGATTTTCTACAAGAGTAATACAGATTTTTTATAAAATATTAATGATGGAATATTATATTTATAGATTATTTAAAATAGTATATAAAGTTGTAAACTTAAATGATGACAGCAGTTAGCCAATGATGTGAATGAGCAACTAAATGGGAACTGTGACCAGCAGGAGATGCTTTGTGGAGTCCAAAGTTGGCAGCTACTACAGAACTCCAGCCACATGTTACCATATTGGAATGCAGGCTTTGGGTGGTTAGGTCTACTGCATTTTGAGAGATTCTTGGAGTTTCTTAATTTTTAAATGTTGACAACTAATACAGGAACTTTTTAAAAAATGCAGTGGAGGTCAAATGTTTGCTCTAACGGACTTAGAGTCCTCTAAGTAAGAGCTTCAGAATTATATACCTGGTTAGCTCTTCTATTTTATTTTAATTATTATTTTTTAAATATATTTCTCATTGATTTCAGAGAGGAAGGGAGAGGGAGAGAGATAGAAACATCAATGATGAGAGAGCAGCCAAAACCGGTTTGGCTCAGTAGATAGAGCGTCGGCCTGCGGACTGAAAGGTCCCAGGTTCGATTCCGGTCAAGGGCATGTACCTTGGTTGTGGGCACATCCCCAGTAGGAGGTGTGCAGGAGGCAGCTGGTCGATGTTTCTCTCTCATCGATGTTTCTAACTCTCTATCCCTCTCCCTTCCCCTCTGTAAAAAAATCAATAAAATATATTTAAAAAAAAAATGATGAGAGAGCATCATGGATTGGCTACCCCCTACTGGGGATCGAGCCCACAACATGAGCATGTGCCTTTGATTGGATTTGAATCAGGGACCCTTTAGTCCTCTGGCCAATGCTCTATCCACTGAGACAAACCGACTAGGGCAGCTCTTCTATTTTAATTAATACTTACGCCCAAAACCATAGTGTGGCATTTAAAGATTAGAGATATAGATGGAGTATTAATATCTTTGGTATCCATTCAGAAGCGCATATTAATTTGTGCATAAGACAAACTGACTTCAATATTATTGTATGGTTAAAATATTTTCAAGATCACTTTGTGAAATATTATTTGGATTTGTAGAAAGTCCATAGCTATATTTTGAAATTTATATTGGATTTTGGCTTAAAAAGTAAGTGTCTCTTCCTGAACCTACTTATTCCTAAACTTGCATCTGGTACTGAAGAAGTTGATAGGCCTAGCTTTTTAGTGGTTTTCACATTAGACTATGAGTTGGGAGACTTGATTTCCAGTCCAGCTTTGCCATTTGGCATGTAGGTCAAGCCACGAAATTTCTCCAGACTCTTGTGTTCCGACAGTAAACTGAGGTGGTTGGATAAGATGACTTCTAAGATACCTCCTGCAATTCTATGATTCCTTTGTACAGATCCTAGACTCCAAATTTCCTTCCTTGTAACCCAGAAAAATGGGTAGATTATGCATGAACTACTCATGCTTCAAAGTTTATATGGAAAAGAAGGAAAGATGGTGATTTAATACTTAGCCAGCCAGCACTTCTTTCAAAAGAATTGTAATACTTATAAAATCTAGCCTCAACAATCATTGAGAAAAATGTGTTCTCACCCAAGTACTTAAATTATTTTCTAATGAAAGTAACTAGAGATTCTGAGCCAAGAACTATCAGCTTATTAAAGTATTTGAGGTTTAAGTTCTGGATCTGCCACTCATTAGTGTGTGACTTTATTTGAAAAAGTATTTATTTATTATTGTCTTTATTGATTTTAGAGAGAGAGAAAGGGAGATGGATATAGAGATAGAAACATTGATGAGAGAGAAACACCTATTGGCTGTCTCCTGCACACCCCCTACTGCAACCTTCTACTGCAATTGAGCCTGCAACCCAGGCATGTGCCCTGACTGGGAATTGAACCAGTGACCTCTGGGTTCATGGGTTGACAGTCAACTACTGAGCCATCCCGGCTTGGCTACTGTGTGACTTAAAAAACATCACATATTTTATTGATTTGGTTTCCTTATCTCAAAATGTAGTCAATAAAATTACCTGCCAGCCTCCTAAGGTTTCTAAATGTCTTAAGGTCAGTTAAATATTGAACAAATTTCAGAATTATAATTGGCTTTAGAGAGAACACTCATAGCCTTTGAATTTTACTGTTTACTTTCAAATATGTTTCATATGGATACAGGTTTCTTTATGAATATTCAAGAAGACATCCAGAGTTGGCAGTTCCAGTGATTTTAAGAGTGGATTCAGTGTATCAAAAGTTATTGGAAAAATGCTGTAAATTAGAAAATCCTCTGGAATGCTATAGCCATGGGGTAAATGCCTTTTTATTGTTCAACCTGTTACTCATAAGTGATTACAAGCACAGGAAAAAATACAGTTCTGTTAGTAGTGCCATACTTTTGTAAGATGATTATACATGTTCTGGCTAATTTCACTACACGTGGACTATCACTGTCATCTAAACCAAAGGCCACATCATGATACCACAGTGATTCTCTGTGCAAGTCACTGTCTTATAGATTCTGTACGTCCTGGAAGATTTGCTACGCAATCTCCCCTTTAAAGTGAATGTCTGGCACTGTAGCAGGTAGCATGACAGCACAGCCTGTTGGGAAGGTCGACTATTTCTACCAAGCAGGCCTGGAAACTGTTCCTATTTCTGGCCAGAAATCATATTGTTCATAGGCAGCAGCTCCTGTTATGCATTTGACATGAAAAATACAGGTGGCCTTACAAATCTGATTGTTCAATTGTTTTTGGGGGGTTATCAGGAAACAGGAAACAGGCTTTTGTTCTAACCAATGGCTTACATATTTATAGAGTGTGGGGTGGGGGTGAGAGTGGAGGGTGAAGGGAATCTCTTGACCTGTCTGGGCATGAGCAGGTACACTTAGCATCCTCCTGTTCACAGAGAGAAGGATAAATGAAAGTGATTTAGTCTCCTATAGGTTAGCACCCTCTGGTGGCATCACCAGCAGACCTCCACAATAATCATTATGGTAATAACACCTAAGGAAACATGGATGTTTAGAGTTAACACAGCAAATTTATACCCAGTGTTCTATTTGGTCCTCATAAAAGCTTGGTATCAGGTAATGCCAGAATTGCTAACAACATTTTATAGATGAGAGCATTGAATTTCAGAAGGTTCAAATGACTTGCCCAATGCCATACAGGCAGTAAGGACAGGGCTGAGGCTTACATCCAGGCAAACAGTTTACATGTCTGGCAACATTTTCCCTACAACAAACACCGCCTATCAGGATCGGGGGGACTTGGTTTGGTGCTCCTACCAAAGTATTCAGCCTGCAAGGTCACGAGTATCTTCCCACCGGAATTAATTTGTGTGGTCAAAAACTGAATTTACAGTAATCGCTGAGAATTCCCTTTGATTGATTTAATGTGGATTTCTGCAGTATTTTACTATATTCAAGGCTGCATGTTTTTATTACACCACGACTTCTTAATACATGTCCATATTTCTTTATATCTTTTTCTCTATATTTGCTGTTTATGTAAAAAGACAGTATTATTAAAAATAACCAGTAAACACACACACACACACTGACCAATTAAACTTAGATCTATAAACTACCTTTAATAATCTCTTTTTGGCTTGATGAATGATTTGCCATATACTTGTAAAATATACTATTTAATCACAATGAGTTTTTATCATGGAAAACTGAATATTAATTTCACTGTCCCACTTTTTTCACACAAAATACACGGCCATTCCTGTTTTAGCAAAACGTGTTTTTCAAGATTTGTTAACTCAGTAAATAAATAAAACCCTGGGTTTAGGAAAACAGCTACATTAAATTCTTACAGAAGATAGTTTTGCAATCTTACCTGAGATATATTGTTACAATGATAGATAAACACTGATTATCTTTATTTTTCAGAAAGAAATGTTCCAACGAGTGGTTCATGAAAGCCACGAGCACGTTAAAAATCATTGTGATTTACATGAGAAATTAGGAGATAGTAACTTCCATGACAGGTATGCTTGTAAGATATTGTCCAGATTTATACTTGTTTAGTGAGCTTTTGCTAACTCCTGATGCTGAGAGTTTCAAAGAGTCTATAGCCAACCTTAAAATCTCAGAGGCTAAGGAAAACATCAGTTCAGAAATAACCTAGCTATCTTTGTCTTGGTAAGATAGATGCCATATAACATTTCCTCTGTTTTCCAAGCCAGATTCCAGATTTCAGTCAATGTCCAGAGGTTAAGGAGCCAAGCAGGCCCTGGCTGCCTTTCTGCAATCTCACAGGGGCTCCCTCCCACACACCTGGACATTTAGCTTAGGGCTTTGCATGCAATTTTGAGTTAAAGCTACAACAGAGATCTAATGTAGGATCCCTGTGTCCATTTCAAATCAGGTCCATATGGAAAATTTAGTATTGTCACCACTGAGAGTACAGATGAATGGATACCTTAGTTAATTGCCAGAGGGAACACACACAACTTCTTATGTGCAGAGAGACTGGTAAATCCCATTGTATTTCAAAGATTAATACATCAAAAAGCAAAAGCCAATTTTTAGGAGTCTTTAGAATCACACTGCAATAGTCTATTTAGAAAAGGATTATTGAGGCAAAGTTCAGTTCGACATAGTGTCCCATAGTATTATTGATCTTAAATTAAATGTCCAGAATAATGGATTCAGAAAAAATTGTTCTTGTTTCAGAGAGAATATGTGGCTTATTACTTTTCTTTTATGTTGTGTTCAACTGCTAATGTCTACTTTTAAGGATTAGATCTCTGGTTCTCAAACTTTAGAATTACCTAGAGGACTTGTTAAATACAGCCCCACCCCAAGAGTTTCTGATTGCTAAGTCTGGGATGGGACCTGGAAGTTTGGGCTTCTACCAAGTTCCCAGGAGTGCTGATACAGCTGATCCAGGAGTCACAATTTGAGAAACACTGGATTAGGTTGACTGTTTTATTGGATGTTATAGCTAAATCCGTCCCCCAACTCCATCTACACTAATAAAAGAGAAACATGGTAATTAGCGTACGACCGCTACCCTTCCCATTGGCTAATCAGCATATCCTTATGCAAATTAACTGTCAGCCAAGATGGCGGCCTGCAGCCATGCACTGAAGCGAGCAGGGAGGCTTGCTTGCTCCAGTGAAGGCGAACTCCAACGTTCCCCGCCTGACCTGCCGGCCTCTCAGCTGCAACTCTAAGCAACTATGTTGCAAATATAGAAGCTAAACAAAACCCCAGAAACCGGCTTTCAGTCAGCCGAGCTTCAGCCAGCCGGACCGCAACATTGTATCAAATACAGAAGGTAAAGGCCAGAAACCTGCTTACAGCAGCCTCAGAGCTAAAGCTGGCCCAGAATAGAAAAAAAAAAAAAAAGAAAAAAAGGAGCAGTTGGGAGCTTCAGTCACCCGCCAGCCTGAAAACGGCCCTCAGCCCCTCAGCCAGGCTGGCCAGGCACCCCAGTGGGGACCCACACCCTGATCCAGGACACCCTTCAGGCAAACCAGCCGGCCCCCACCCATGCACCAGGCCTCTATTCTATATAGTAAAAGGGTAATATGCCTCCCGGCACCGGTATCAGCATGACAGGGGCAGCACCCAAACCCCCTGATCGGCCCTGCGGTCTGTGTGTGACAGGATGCGGCGCCCCAACCCCCTGATCAGCCCTGCTCTGTGC